AACCTATTATAATAAATACTAGTTAGCTAAATACTATTCTAAAAAAGCCTAAAAAATATTATTAATAAAAAATATTAAATTTAAAGCAAGAAAGCTTAAGCTAAAATTTATAAATCTATTTAGAATTCTTAAATATATTAGTAATTTAGTATATAAGTTAGAATTACTAAGTATATATAATTATTTATATTTAATTTTCTATATTTCTTTTCTTAAAAAATATATAATAAAAAAGAATTAGAAGCTATATTTATATTTTTTTAGAGAACTTCTGGAATTAGTAAATAATAATAAAGAATAAAAATAAGAAATAGAAATTATTATTAATTATTAATAAAATAATAGAAATAAGAAATAATAATATTTAATTAAATAAAAAGCCTAGCCTAAAGATTATAATATCTAGTTATTTACTTTCTCTAACCTTAAAAATTTTAAGAAATTTCTAAAATTATATAACTAAAACTATAACTTGAAATTTAAAACTATCTTTTAATAATTTCTTAAAATTAAAAAGAATTCTAAACTATTAAGAAAAAGGCTACTTAAAAAAAAAAGAGAATCTAGATAGCTAAGAAAAGGCCCGAAATAATAATAGAAATACTTTTTCTCTAGGGTTTTTTTATTTATAAAGATTTTTTAGGGTTTTATTAAGGCTTATAAGAATTATATTTAAATTATTAGAAAAAGATTTAGGATTAAGAAAGATTTATTATAGGTAAACTAATTATAGATATCTTAAATAAATAAACTTTAATTCTTATAAATTTCTAATTCCTAAAATAAGAATACTAAATACTAGCCCTATTTAGGACTTAGTAAAGAATTAGCTAATACTTTCCGGAATCTGCTTATTTCTTAATAAAATATAGTTATACTATAATAATATTAGTATTAAAAATATTAAAAGAAGTAAGTAAGGAACTTATAATAGTTATATATATCTTATAAAAGGCCCGAATTTCTAAAGTCAGGTCCCGAATAGTTATAAGTATTATATTATTAGTATTTAAAATACTAGTAATAAATTACTTAGTAATCTCGGTAATAAGCTTAGTAATAAGATTAATATCTTAAAGATAAATATTATAGTATTTCTTTAAAGAATTAGTAAATATCTAAGTATATTAAAAAAAACTTATTTTTAGAATACTAACCCAAATAGTATTATTATTTGCCTTATTAAAATAAGAAAAAGAATTCCAAAGCTTATTAGTATTTTTCTAGTTTTCGAAAACCTAATTAATAATATTATTCTTATTAGTATAATATTATTTAGGATATATTTTAAGAAATTTCTTAAAGATTATAATAGTATTTTCCTAAAACTAGTAAGCCTTTAATAAATAGTAAGAAATCTGAAATTATATTAGCTTTAATAAATATTAAAGCTAAAGAACTTACTAATATATAAAACTCAGAACTCTTATTATAATAGTTATAATTCTTCTTACTAGGTATTATAGTATATAAAATAAAGAAATTAATAAGTAAATACTTGAAATATTTCAAATATTTACTAGTAATAGGAAAGAAAACTATAAGGTTATTTTTATATTTATTATTATATAAACAGATAATAAAGCCAGAAGAAGATATTATAGAATTAATTAAAAATAATTAAAGAAGACTTAGAGAAAGATAAAAGAAGAAACTAGAAAATAATAATAAAAAAAGTTATATATATAGTTATTAGAAAGAAAAAGAATATATAGTAATATAAAGAGGTTCTTTTATAGAAATAGAGAACTACCTGGATTAACTACTAGTTTTCGTACTAGTCCTAATCGGAAATTAGTATAACTAATTAATATATACTTCTAGGAGCCCGTAAATAATCTCTAGGACCTTAGAAATATTTATATAAATTTCTTATATGAATATTTATTAAATTCTTTCTATATAGCTATTTAGATTATTCTAATATAAGATCTAACAGGTAGTATTAATTTCGTGGGATAGTACCTTAGTACTTTGAATCGAGCTAATTAGAATACTCAGATCCTAAACGAAATCGCGATTACTAGCTAGCCCCTATACCTGGAATATAATTATCCTTCCTTCTCGCTTATTTAGCCCTAATCTAATTAGACGATTTTTATATCTATTATCTAGATTATATTAGCAAAATTACCTTCCAAGTTACTAGAAGTTTACCTCAATTAAATAAATAATTAATTAAATATTTACTAGGATAGATTAATGGATCTTGGGAATAAGATCCTAGGAGGAGGGTATAGTTATAATATATGCAGGGTCGTACGTAACTTAAGGGCATGTAACGAACCTCGGATATTGCGGGTATCAGTTAGGGAGATCGGTAGTCCTTTGACTTTATAACTAACTACTGTTTATATCATAAGTATTAGGCTTATAAATCATTAATTATATATACGTTATCGGGGCCTCCTATTTAGAGGGGGCTTCCCTGGACCTTACAGGAGGGACAGAGATTAGTTCTGTACTGAATTTAATACTGTGGTTTCACAATACACTGATTTATTCTATTGTCTTATTGCCTACTAATAAACACCTCACATATGGCCATATATTACGAGCCTCTCAAAGCTCTTCTGCCTCAGCCGACCCGGTACTAGACGGCAAGCCTATAATATAGAAGCGAAGGTATTAAGGCATATATATAGAGATTATTAGTAATACTCACTATTTCACAAATACTAATAATAATTATAATGCCTGTAATACAAGTAATAAGGACCTATAATCTGTAAAGTAATAAAAGCCACGCTTAGTACATACCGTAATTCCGCCTCTCTATCTCCGATAGTCTCTCTCCCCGCTACCGACTACGAGAGCTGAGATTAACGAGGCATAGTCTCAGGATAATTACAAATATTCGTCGACCTTTATTAACGAGCAGTACTATGCTTTACGGACTTCTCGGAGTCCGTCTGCGGTATTAGAAGCGGTACCAGTTACTGAGTATTAGGAGTGGCCCTTCCAAGGCTTCCTCAAGCGTATTAGGATCAGGGATAATATAACATATAATCTTGAGTTTAAACTGCTATTGATCTTGGAACAACTCTTACTAATTAATCCCAAAGCATTAGATATCTTTTCTAGCAAGAAGGCAATAGTAAAGGTTCCGACCTATTACGACGCTACTACATATGCCAAGATATATCAAGTACCGTTATAGCCTAAGAAGAAGCGGAAGCATATTAAATGGATATTAGAAGAGGATATAATACTGCTCAAGATAAAGGACGAGAATAACTATTTGTGGGAAGAAATCGCTAAAGCCCTCCCCTACCATATCCCAAGGACGATCCAGCCACACTACTATACCATCCGAGCGGGTATTAGTAAAGTCGATGTCTCGGGTGGCCAGCAGTAGAAGAGACGGCGAGGCCGGCCCCGGAAGCAAACGTGAGGCTGGCTGTAAAGCTATAGGAAGGGCATGAGATTTTCAGAGGTGTTATGGGAAGTGGTGGGAAGTGATGGTTTTATCGGTGGACATTACGGATTAATGGTCCGTAGTTGGAGACTGTCATCTTTATCGGAAGGAGATATGAGGTGGAAGGTAGAACGTCTGTACCAGAAACAATTAATGCATTATAAAACAAAGTCGCGCGTTCATTGGGCATCCTTGCTATCCTTGTATCATTCCCCCCGGACCATTTTGTGCCCCAAAACGAAACAGAACGTCTCGCAACACTGATGACCTGGCCTTGGTTATGCATTCGCTTTTCCTCAGACGGTCGGTAGCTACACATGTTCCTCCCTCTCTTCCCTAGTCGTTCGGCCATATATGCACACTCGGCAATTAGACACTCGCATATAACGCCAGCCAAAAAATGACTACTCGAAGTTGTAAGTTGAGTTCTATTCGCTGGTCTGTTTCCCGTTCCTCGTTTAGCATTCTCTAGTTGGATCCTCTGACTCCTATTGACTCCTCGCAAGGGCGAATATCCTGACATAAAACGTTTATCTAGTATTAATAATCTGATGCCCTTACATTCTTCTCGCTTACATCCCGTCGCCCTATAAAGCGCCGTTCCACCGTTGGTATTACGCCCGCTATACAAATAGTACTAATATCCGGCCGGTTTATCGTTTCTCGTGGTCAATAAAGCACCCAAGTTGGAACTACACGCGTGTCTCCAATTTCTGGGAGTAAATTTGTCCACTATGGACTTGAATGCCGACTAGTATTTACGTATATAAATGTCAGTGAAAGATCCTACGCAGGACAGCATCTCGGGTATATGGGGAAGTTTACCAGCGTGCAAAGACTTTCATCTCCATCAAGGTGCTTCCCTTCCGCTCGACATCCGGGAATCGTCATGATCCGGTCATTATATCTGACTCTCACGAAGTATTCGTCCATTTCTTGTACCTCCTCCGTCGTGAGTTTCTGCACTGGTCGTCGCCCGATGATTGAAACCGAGCTAGTGGTAACGTTCCATGGCCACCGTAGTTTACTTTCGTTCGTGCTCCATAATCCATGATGCAAGGAGCGCTGCATCCACTCCTGAGCCATCCATACCAGAAGGAGTTACTCATCGGCATCATCTCTTTAGCCCAGGTCTGTATGCGTGGCCGTTACAAGTATACACCGCGAGAGAAATTTCTGAATTAGCAATGGAAGTTGTATCTAAATCCAAAACTTATTGCACTATACTTTCGTTGAATTGCAAAATGTTCCAGACTTGATTCCATTCCATTTTTATCCCATTCCGGTCCCTTCGCTCCACTGATTCAATGTTGAACGCCTTACAATGAGAAAGGCTATGGCTTGCTTCGCCGCTTCGACGTGACTTCTCCTTTCACATCTACTTTATCACATTTCACTAGTCTATATCGTTCTCAACCACTGGTATGCTCTTTGTACGGTCGTCCATAAGAAGAGCATGAGGACAAATCCTTTAAATAGAAAGAGGAAGGCATATCGACGACTTGTAACATGACGACGTTATACTAGCTTTTGCTACAAATATGGGTGATCAGCATATCCTTGATACACCAAGAATAAGGAGTCATACGAGGTCAAGCAGTACCTCGTTGGCACTTTGATAGCTCTCATTCCAATACTTGGTAATAATCTTCCCTATGGGAAGGTTGCAAACTGGCGGGAATTTCTTAATGCCATATAGCCGTACGACATCCTTGTCTTTGCGCGTGGCATACGGCACTGATCCTGTAGACAATTCATAGAGAACAGAGCCCAGCGAAAAGAGGTCGTCCTGGACTGTAGCCATGCTATGGTAAGGCAGGCGGCAGAACCTTACTTCTGCTCTAACTCCCATCTGTGTATGGCCGACCAATGACGAACCGGCAAAGTCGCACAATACGATATCTTGCGACGTCTGTATTCTAATATTGCTTAAGTTGAAGTTACGGTATATGATATCGTGGGCGTGGACGTGGGCTAGAGCTTCAGTAATTTGTAATGCCCATTTCTCCAGATGGATGTGTGTCCCGGAGAGCAAGAGGTCACGTAGTTCGCGAGGATGGTACTGAAGAATGAGTTGGCCAGCATCTTCCCTTTCAAACTTCTTGATGATTAGAGGGTGCTCTCCGAGCCGCTCCAGAATGTCGCGTTCATGCTCGATCTCCCCAAGTGTTCCTGGCCTGCAGCACTTAACCACCTGTTCAGGTGAAGTACGGTAGACCACACTTGACGCTCCCTCAGTTCTAGAGTAGGGATTTCTAGCGCCGGATGCGCCTGAGAGTTCTTAACATTCTGGGCGTCGGCGCCGGCGTGGCATGCAGGTCCTGTCTCTAACGCGTAAGGGCTGCGTGCCTTCGCAGAAGCTGCGAGCTGGCGGTTACCTCTGTCACCGGGCGTAACCACATCCATTTTCTCGATTCAGATAAGGAAGAGCTAATTAGCCTATGGCAGAGTTTTGTTACGCCTTGCAAACAGGTCGGCAGAGTATTAGCCAGCCGCCAATCAGCAACACCACTCGCGCTTCCGAGCATGGTTTTAACCAATGACCACTATTCAGCTAGGTGAACTAAGTGCCGTCAATTCTGGCGCCAAAGAAGGCACAGCTTTTCATAAGGGACGCCATCGTTCGATAGCACATCACCCTTGGCGAAGTATTGTAAGTAGTTAAGATCGCATTGAAGAAAATATGTCCGAAATAGTTAACTAGACGTGACTCCTGCTTTCGCGTTAACAAAGTACAAACATTACACATGCACATATTCATTATCCAAGAACCTCAAACTTCATTCTTCGGCTCCTTCCTTTCCTCCCTGATCCTCGTCATCCATACCTCCACGTTATCAATTGCCTATTTGCAAGAGCCTTTCTCAATTCATTCATCAAGTAAGAAAATTCATAAGTCGTAACGCCATGACAACGGCAAAACTAGCTAATAAGCTACCACCAATTGCTTTTCGAAAGCGCTATCCTGCAAATCAAACCCTGTGATGGACCGAACGGATGAAGCGGATTTACACCCGAAACTTGAAGTACGTGAAAACGGAGGAAATAATGATTGATAGAAGCGTGACCGCGAACATATCACACAACCCCCTACTTACAGGCTCTATGGCCTTGTTAAGCGGAATCCGCTGCTGGAGAGGGGCCTCTTCGCCCGGAGCTTTCAAGACTACGTGCACTTGGGGCTGGTTGTTAGTAGGTACTGCCGTCCCCTTCGCCACATGCGGCAGTGGTGGATCTCTGGGCTGGTCACGTTGTTTTGAACGTCTGAGCCATGCGAACCTGGGCTTGATCCCAAAGACGATGGCGCCGTCTATTGGTAGCTCCTTGCTGGACTGTAGCTCCCTACGGGATAGTTTTTGACACCATTCTTTAAAGCTGTCCTTGTCCTTGACGATCTCGAGCTTCTGAATGTGTATAGTGCATTTCCTGGAGTTTTTGTGCATGCACTTGTGATGGTTAATGCTCTGCTGACCCCTGTTCAATTCAAAACTGTAAATCTCGTTACATTCCAAGCGCATGGACGGGTTGAGCCATTGGAAGTATCGGAGGTCCGGGGGTCGATATTGACGGCAGATTGAGTTGAGGGCGTGGAGGCTGGCACAGAGGTAGTCGTATCCCGGAGGCACGGCTTTCCACTCTGTGCAGAGGCCATCTGCATCGCTGGGTATAATAACGTCGCCGAGCCCGTCAACGAAGAGCACCGGGTACTTCTCGCACAGCCTCGGCCAGATGCCGCTGCTGCTAGACAGAGGCTGGTGGCGCCTGATTGGGTTGGGGACGTGTGGGTCGATCATTGAGAAGAGGTCCCAGCCATAAAGACAGCCCTCGGTTGACTCTTTGAACGCGGTCGCAATCTTGTCCAGCACTTGGTGCATGCTCCGAATGGCCTCCCACAAGCGGATATCGGCCACCCCGTCCTCGTCTTTGCATATAACCAAGTCGCGGAGGCCTTCAATTGCCCTCTTTGCGGCTTCCCCTCCGTCGGAAGATATCTCCGCAAACGGAAGTGCCTGGTCGTTCTTATTGGTGAGGATGACGGGTGGCTTTCTCTGGGCCATGGCATGGAGGATGAAGAGAATGGCGCTGCCGCGGGTGACCAACCAAGCCCGTCTGTCCTGGGAATCGTATAGGAAGACGGGCATTGTCCAGGCAGCATTAAGTTTTGAGTCTCCGGCGAATCCTATTTTCGCGGGGCCCAGGTCAGTCTTGGCCTTGCGTGGGTCCGGCACCGTGTAAGCTGGAGCGGCCGTTGCTCTTATTTCGGTGTTGACGAATGCAGGCACCTTGATCTGAACTGCAAAGCTAACTTCTTTCAGTACCCATCCGTTTTGTGACGGGTCTTTATATTCTTCGGGGCCACACAGTCTCAGCTCGTCGTAGGCAAAGTCCTTATGGCCCAGACATACGTGGGCTGGTGTTGTCCATCCCACGAAGGACCGGATGTTTTGCATATCTCTGATGTCGCTGCCTTCGAGTTTGTAGATCTCTTCGAATTCCCTGAGGACTCTGGCGGTACTCATTCCGTCTTCTGGCTGCAAGAAGTGCCAAAGGAGGCACCGCCGCTTTCCCGGTGCCAGGGAAACCATGCTTACGGGCACCAGAGCAGTGGACTCGCCTTGTAGGATCACCCCAGACGAGAGGCGAACTGAAACCCGAGCTCCAGATATGGAAGTCAACATGTCGAGCGGTATCTCCAGGCCTGGCACCCAATCTGGTCTTTCTGGAATGGGCCATCCGTCCGCAATGATGCAGCAAGGGAAGAGCGGCGTCCAGCACATCCCCAGCTCGCCGTCTGTGAGTGGCTCAAGTTCTGTAGTGGATATGGCGAAGTACATGGACTGTGCGTCGCTACATCCCCACAGGATTGGCTGTAGAGCGGTACGGTCCTCGAAGATGGCATCCGAATAAGACAGCTTACCGGTCCGAGGGGACCGCCTCATGGCAGCTGTGAGCCATGTGAGGCAACAAGCCACCTGTTCAATGGCTTTTAGTGAGCCGCAAACCGTGATTTCTGTCAGTTGATGGGATTCTGAGAATTCGTCGCTGGCATACAACTGTGCTTGAAGCGTATCCCCCAGGTCTCCGTCCAGGGACATCACGTCGCCAGGGGATAGATCAGCCGCGGGTGTCCCTAAGCTGGACAAGTCTCCTGTGATTTCATTTTTGGGTTGGTCATCGGCAGGGCGTTCAACTGGCGGGATTTTCACATAAATCCGCGTCGACCTAGGCTCAGCCGACGGTTCTGGACAATTGTTGATTAGAATAGCCGTACACTTTGGTGGTTTGAGCAGATCAGCTACAGGTAGGTACGTACCATTTTGCCCCGAACCCGATCGAAGTGCCCGTTCGATGCAGCCTAGAATCGCAGGGCCTTCTTCAGCCCAATTTTCGCCGATATACGCTGAGCATTGCACTGCGCGACCGTAGACGGCAGAACCACTGATGGTTACGACAGGCCCAACCTCGCCGCTCCTCATTTCGTATTTCATGAATTCGGGAAGCTCCCAGTCGATCATAAATGTGGCAGAGACGTCGGGATTTTGGTTAGTACTAGTCCCTTGGCGACTAGAGCCCACCGTCTTGTAAGCTTCCTTCACAGTTGCCTCAATTGTGGAGAACTTAGCTGCAGGATCCGTGTCAAAGTACAGGGACCTCCTGATACCGACAGTGAATTTATCGAAAGCCCTTGAATTGGTTTGGAAGAATGACAAGGCTGCTTCGAACTGGCCCTGAATTGACTGGTTATCCGCGAACGCAATTTGGCTCTCGTCAGGCCCATTGTCAACAACCGAATGGTCTCGCTCGGTCTGAACATGTTGCAATAATTCATAGTGGCTTGATCTTGCAGCTTTCTTGAACTCAGCCAGAAGTAAGAGCTTACGAGCCAATATTGTGCCCGCGACTTGTTTCTCGAAATCAGTGAAAGCTGCAATAGTAAGATCGCAGTGAAGCTTATCCACAAGGCGACTGAATCTTCCAGTGAACTCCTTGGCCGTCCATTTGTTTTCGCTGACAGCACGCGGACCCCATTCCGCGAACGCCGGCATTGTTGCCAATAGGTGGACAACGTGGGAAACGATCATCTTTTCTAGTTCCTTGGGAATGTCAGGTCGACTCGCCAACTTATATGGAAGGATTTCTGGCTTTGACTCTAAAGCTGGAGGCTTTGTGTCACGGACCCGGAAGTTGTGTCCAGACTCGACTTGTCGATGTAGATGGAAGGTTCCGCATTTCGGACTACGCCGTTGTCAGACACGTCTAGCGCAACGCAGTCTCTAACTCTCGATGAACTTACCACTTTCCTCGCCCTTCCTCATCTTCCAGTCTCGAAAAGCAAACAACGCATTTCCTAGCATCGTTGCTGTCCGATAGTGGAATGACTGACATGTTGACTTCCGACGACGAGTCGTCGAGGAGCCCTCGGCCGCGTTTATCAAGCCCAATTTTATCATTGTTGGCTGGCCATGTGAGAACGAATTGGTTATCTTCAATCCGCTGCCGAAGCCTTTGATCGTCTTTACTAAAACGCAAAAGCAACAATTCTAGCAAGTCCTGCAGGCAAAAGTAGTTAGATAAAGGCAAGCAACACGATTATTTACAAACGGAAAAAGTAGGTTAGGGGCTTTAGCTGTAGTTGAAGTCAACTCAATGAGATGGGACATCATGTGACATACCGGTTCAGATTTGACGAATTCACGATAAATCGGGGTTTCGCGCCCCACGGCGTCGTTGAGCGTGAGAAGATGTTGCAGCCGGACCTGACGTGGTACCGTCGACGTCCGACGATAGAGAGCTGTGGCTGCGAGATATATCCGGAAGTTAGAGTATCTTTTAGCCTTGTTAGCGCACGGGAACCTTCCATGCGTGTCAGCGGGCTCATCTCACATGACATCAAATGTTGTTCCGGGATGCATTGGTGTGATGGAATGCATCTTTGGATTTGAACGGGCCAAGGCTGCAATGCTCTGCGGTTTGAGCATCCTTAGCGGACGCTTGGGCGTGCTGTCATAGAGTGTTATAAGGCTTGGATTTAGTCAGGGCGTTGATGAATATGCTCACTTTGCGTGGGATTGGCCATGGAGCTCTGAGAGGAGATAGAGGGAGATGGCATGGCCCACCAGTTCGTCAACCACGACATCGATTCTCTTCCGATCCCAGTCTGGGTGAGGAGTTGAACCCCTGAAATTGAATTGCTCCTCACGGTCGAGAAATCTTTTTACGGTATTGCGGCATTGGACCACTACTTCCATCAATGCAAGGTAGGTTGGAAAAGCCGCTTCATCATGGTCATGCCCAGAAGAGCAAATTCCCAAGAGCATGTCCTTGAGGCCATCAACGGAGGTATTCCATTTGTGATTTGTGATGCAATAATCCTGGAACTGGCTAAGTAAGTCCACAGCGTCAATAACAATGTTAGCGGGCTCTGCAGTTTGTTCGATGGAGGGCCTTGAGGGCTCCGAGTCAGGTTGAGGTGTTGCACAAGAACTTAAAGACACCAGTGCCATCTTGTAGTATGCGCCTGAGTTCTTGGACGATGTCTTGTCAGACTGAAACGGCCCGCTGAGTAAAGTCTAGTCTAGGATCAAGGGGAGGCAGTTGTCAAAGAGACCTTGGGATCCGGCGTTGGAGTCGCATTGATGTCGGGAGGGTTCAAGGAGATCTTTCCTCGGTACATATATGTAGCTGCGAGTAGTATAGCGAGGTGAAGAGCGAGTGTCATCTGACAAAATGCGGGAAATGTTGGGACACAGCCTCGTGGCCAGGAAAAGCAAGGCAGCCGGATGCTGAAAGTGTTGAAGGACTGTCACGAATCAAATCCAATATCCTCACCACGCCTTTGGTGACAAATGGACTGCCGCAGGCGCCACCTGCCCATTGTGGGAAGAGGAAGAGTGTGGCTTCATGTATAGTCGATTTGTATTATCACATTCTGTTGGCTCTCTGAGCAGGCAGCGGCCTCACGTCGTTTGCGGAAGACCCACTCCTTCCTTTTTCAGTCCTTATCGAGACAAATTACTTTTCATTGGGCCACGTATATGTGAATATTGACGCACCTAGAGCCTCCTGCATCTGCAGAATGAGGCGGTTGGAGAATATGATTAGCCCTGACGGAGCTCCCGGCGGCAGGAAAGCCACCATAGCACGAGCAGCCAATAATCACATACATCACCTCATGTGCCACTCGGTTCTGTTCTTGCTGATGTGCATATTCTTCTTCGGAGGTGCGTGAGATTGTTCAGAATGGGTTGATCGCCCCGAGGCCCAGATCACCATTGGCAAGTCCATCACGCCAGCTGTGCCAACTATCGCATGATTCTATTGCATAAGATATCTGAAGATGCAAGCCCTCGCAGCGGGTTCATCTTCACAGATCATCTATTGGTTCTGTTGCTGCTCCTTTGCTCAGTTTGAGGTGACACAGTCTTCCACGAGGCTGTAATTTGTAAATCAGCAGAGGACGGGCTAGGTTGCGGTTAGACTGCCGCTGTTAGCGGAGAGCTCCAAGTCGCCCCCGCTTTTGTATCGGGCTGCACATATTTGAAAGAAAGGATAAGGTTCTGGTTAACGAGTTAGTTTGGAAATCAAGATATCTTCAATACTAGTGTTGTAGAGAGCTCAGCTCACATGCAGTTGAATGAATCACGTAAGCCTTAAGCGAGTGTGCCGTCCCTATCTCTCCTATACTTCTCTTAGAACGTTAGAACTGAATGCCGAGCTAGAATTCGCCCTCCTACAGTACCGTACAGCAAGCTCTACATCCCCTCCTCTAGCTCTATCCAGACCCCCTCTCCAACAAAGCCAATTTCAACAACGACCCCCATCACTCAACTTAAGGCTCATTACACCACCCCTCCAAAAGCCCCACCCCCAACACATTAACCCTTTTCTCCTTCAACTCTTCCCCGCTGACCTCTAGCAACCTTATAATATCCTACTAATAATCCAGATATAACCCCCTTAATTCCTTCCCCCTACTAGCCGCAAGAAATATATAAGTCTGCTTATATAACTCTAATATATCCTTAAATAGCTCTTTATAAAACGGTTTATCTTTTACTATCCTATACTTTTCTTTAATATTTAGAGCTATTTCCGCTTTTATATAGAATTTATTAATAGAGCTTTATAAAATAAACAAGAATAAGAATAAGAAATACCTTTACTTATAATAGTTAATATATTTATATTATATTATTTAATTTATTAACTTCTAGTTCTTATTATAATATACTAGTTATATATATTATAACCGTTTTATTAATATTATACCTGTAACGGTACAAGGGATCACAAGCTCTGTAGGGGCATATGGGAGTGCATATCGGAGGCTAACAGGATCGTTCTCATAGGCTAGCTACGTAAGAAACAAGTAAGTAAAGAAGGAAAGGAAAGAATCGCCTTGAGAAGCCCTATTTGAGAAACCATAAGATTAGCACCCGCTTCGGTACTGAACCCTGCTCCTAGGGGGCTCTGCAGAGCACGTGCCGTCGTCACAAATAAGTGTGACAGGTTAGGTCGAATATAGTCTATTGCGAGCTCCTGCAAAGTACAAGAAGAATTGCTTGAAAAGAAGAAAAGGAGAGATGACGGGCGCTCAGCCCGTAAAAAGAGCCGTGAGACTCTTACGGGTGGTTGACGGGGCAACGAGAACTGCTTACGGCAGTCGAATCCAACTTACGGGTATAACCCGTCACATTACCCTCCCGTAAACCCAAGCTTCCGGTCCGTAAGGGTTAAGTTCCGTCCGTTACAGCTCTCTTTTCCGCTTCATATAAGTCCAGCGCCTCCGTTTCTTCTAAGGCGTCAGCTGGTTCCCAAGTGGGCCTTGCGTAACCTTCCCATTTGACTAGGAGCTCTCGAACCCAGCCCCGTCCTCGCTGTTTCCGTCTCTCTTTCAAGATCGCTTCTACTCCATACTCGTTCGTATCCGCAACTAATTGTAAGGGAGGCTGTGCGTCGTCCGTAACTTGGTGTGGGAGGGGGTCCGTAGCCGCTAGTCATAAGAGTTTTGCATGGAAGACGTTCCGGACTCCTGGTGGTATACCGACTTGGTATTGCGGGCTCTGCTGGCGGGAGCGATTAGCTGAGTCCTCTTGCCATTATTGGGCTGCTGCTATGGCTATTTATGCCTATTCAGTTGCTTTGCGGAGTTTACGGACGATTTGGTCTGCTCGTTGAACAGGGCTCGTATCTGTTCCGGTCCGTAGGCTATCTGTAACCTCTAAGGGTTCGACGTGGTATCCGTAGAATAAGAAAAAGGGGCTGACGCCCGTTAAAACCGAGTCCCGGTTATTGATCGCTAGTTCGGCCATTGGTAGTAGTTTAGCCCAGTCGTCTTGGGCTTAGTCTATAAAAGCTCGAACTGGTGGAAGGTACGGTTCTAAAACCTGGTTTATGTATTCTGTAGACCCGTCTGTTTCTGGGTGGAAAGCCGTTGAGAGTTATCGATTAATCCGTAGGAGTTGGTATACCCGAGACTATAGGGCTCCTATAAACTGGGGTCCTCGATCGGATACTATTACGGACGGTAACCCGAAGTGGCGGTAGAAGATACGGATAAATATAAGCGCTACGGCTTCCGCTGTCATATTATTACAGGGCTCGAAGATAGCTCCTTTACTAAGCGGTCCATTATTACCAAGATATTTGTAAAGCTGTTACTTACGGGCAGTTGTGTAATAAAGTTAATTGAGATTTCCCTCTATATCCGATCCGGGATTGGGAGTGGCTTCAAGAAGCCTTACCTACGGTCCCGCTATGCTTTATTCCGGCCGCAGGAGTCACAGTTACGTACGAATCGCCGTACTAACTATACTATTCCGGGCCAAAAGAACTGTCGCATCAGGATAGCCATAGTCCCTTCCCTCCCAGGGTGTCCGCAAATCAGTAAGTCGTATGTAACTTGGATAAGCCTCGTCCGTAACTCGTCCGAAACAGGAACCCAGTAGCGTCCTCTGAATAGGAGCGCTCCGGAGGCTAATAGCGAGCACTCTGATAGTGAAACTCGAACTCCTAAGGATAAAGGGAATACTCTTTACTTATTGCGGATCGTAGTTGCCATTTACATATATATACGGTCCTCGTCTTGACTAGCCTTCCATAAAGCTTGCAGGTCGTCCGGTAGACTCCGTAAGTGGCTAGGCAGGTCCGTAGTATCATTGTTCTGGGTCATGCTTCCTTGGTTCCGGGTAGCTGTTACGGGAGCGAGCGTAATACGGCTATAGGCTCCTTTACTAACCATTGTTGGTTTGATTAGTTAGGCCGTCCGTAGCTATAATCTTTTATCAGTAGTACCTACTGGGAGGTCCTGTTCCCTTCGAGATAGTGTATCTGCTCGGGGATTATCCTTCCCTGGTTAGTAAATAATCGAGAAGTTATACCGGGAGAGAACTAATAACCAGCACATTTACCGTTCAGTTAGTTTACGGACCGTTATAAAGTATTCAAGGTTCTTATAGTCTGTACGGATCTAGAACTCCTTTACACTTCGTAGTTCTGCGTCCCATTCTTGCAAGCAGTTAATAATGGCTAGCATTTCTTTATCGTAGATCTCGTAGTTGCACTCCGCAGGGATGTTCTTCCGTTAGTAGTAAGTACAGGGCCGTAAGAGTCCGTTAGTATCGAACTGGAATAGGGTACTACCTGTACTCTATATAGAGGCATCCGTTTCCATAATCGTTTCCCGGTCCGGGTCGAACTGGGCCAGTATCGGGGCCATAGTAAATAGCTCTTTCAGCCGTGAGAAGGCCGTATTCGCCGCTTTTGACCAGGTAAAGGAGAGGTCGTACTTTGTGAGATCCGTAAGTGGAGCCGTAACTTCCGAAAAGTCTTTAATAAAACGCCGGTAGAAGTTTGCAAAACCTAGGAAGCTCCGTACGCCTTTTACGGACGTAGGGGCTTGCCAACTAGTAATGGCTTCTACCTTTGCTAGGTCCATCCGTAACCCCTGCCCTGCTTCGATAATAAACCCGAGGTATTTGGTTGATTTAACCTCGAATTCGCATTTGTCGACGTCTAGCTATAGTCTAGCGTCCTGTAGCCGTTAAAGGACTTTATGGACCTTCTCCCGGTGGTCCCTTCGGCTTCCGGACGTGTAAATCAGGACGTTATTAATGTACGCTAAGCAAAACTCGTCTAAGTAGTCCCGTAATGCCCAGTTAATATACTTCTGGAACGTGCTTGGGGCATTTGCGAGTCCGAAAGGGGTAACGAGCCATTCGTAGAGTCCGTAACGGGTCCGAAAAGCCGTTAGCTACTTGTCCCCTTCCGCTATTCTAATCTTGTGGAAGGCGGCCTTAACGTCGAGCTTTGTGAACCATCGAGCCTGTGAGAGGTTCCGAAGCGTTTCGTAGATCAGGGGTAGCGGGTAACGGTCTTTACGGGTGAGCTTATTTAACCCGCAGTAGTCGATACAAAACCGTAAACCTCCTCCCGGCTTCCGTACGAAGAGTACCGGGGCCGCAGCGGGCGAGTTACTTACCCGTATAAAGCCCTTGTCCAAGAGGTCCGTAAGGGTCTTCCGGAGGACCAAAAGCTCGTCTCGTAACATGCTAGGGGGCCCCATGGGACCGTTGGTGTCTTGCCATCGACCTTCTCTAGCTCAATATTGTAGTCTGCTCCTGGGCCACGTAGCGGGGGCAGTTATTCCGCTTGTTCCGGGTCGAAGAGATCAAGGAAGCTTAAGCACCAGTTTGGTAACTTCGTCTTCGGGTCCGTAGCGGGTTTACGGGTAAGAGCTTTCTCGATATCGGCTAAGCTAGCCGTGAAGACCTCCGTAGCGGGCTGTTAACGGGTCTTGCGGGTTAATTATATTCCCTACTATAATATAAATATTAAAAATATCGAATGATAAATATATATAATTTTCTTTATAAGTAACTTAATAAATTCTTATTTATAATATTTATTTAATTATATTAAATTTAATTAAAGGACTCCTTTAATAAAAGAGCTTTATTAAGAATTCTTATTATTTTATAAATATATTACTTTAATAATTTCTTATTATTTAAAAGCTCTTAAAACTTAAAGAAGAATTTAATTAATATTAAAGTAATAAGATCTTAAAGGGTTTAGCCTTATATAAATTATATTTAATAAATAAATTACTTGTTTTTTAACGTTCATTCCTGTATAGCGGAAAACCCTATATACCGGAAAAAATAATAGGTACTTTGACTTCAAGTATCTTAAAATCTATATATACCTTAATATCTCCTATATTTTCTTATAAGTTAAATTCCGTAGCTATTCCCGAATACCCTAAAGTCCTCCTACTAGAAAATCACGTTCGCATTATCGCCCTCACGCCTAATTTGCAAAGAGTCTCCTATTATAATATAATAGACTTCCTCTACTATAACTCGACTACCGAGCTTATATTATCCCTAATACTTATAAAGAAGTCTTATCCCAGCTCTAAGGCCTTACTATAATACAGGGAATCGTCATTAGCCTTGTGGCTGCTATGGCGTGCAGATTCATACAAGATCGCCACGCGGGTCGGTACGTCGGATTAAAGCGAGTAACGAATTTAGTTAGTGCGAAAAAACCCCGTACGTCCCATAATATTTACACTGTAATTTCAATTATGTAATCATTTACTAAGCCTCTAGTAGTTGTGGCTGTTTATCAGATTCAGGGCTGTAGCTGACGCGGCGGGCTTATTAGGGCTAAGAGTTCGGAACGGGAGAACTCTATTCCATTGGCCGGCAAATTTCCGCCAGCCAATTTGCCGACGATAACATCAACAGCAAACAACAGAATGCCGCCTCCCGTCGAGTATAGCTTGCCCAATACTAAATTGCAATCTTATCCATTACACTGAAATCCATTATAAATGTACAGTAATTATTGCAAACTACGCCTCCCGAAAGCTTTACGAGTCCACTAACGCCTCCTGCGACTGACGAGAAAACCTCGACATCTATCTCACAGATTCTTATAGCGATTAGACGATACAAAGACGGATATAGTCTGCCTGCTGCCGAACACTGGCTTCGATTTTCGCTAGATGTGTATCGTTACAGAGATCTTCAGTACCAACTCCGAAAAGTCAATCTCTGAGATTACTACGAATACAAACTTCGGTATATATAAAGTGCGCTCATAACCGCTACTTAGCTAATGTGATGGCAGATACGATTACTTCCCATCAGCCAAGTTATATGTCCTCCGAATGCTAGGTTCGTTGCACGAAAGCCTCGAATCTTATATTACACAAGAAATCCTATGCCAGTTAGATACAATTGCCCAGAGCGGCAGTCCTTCAGCGGTATTTGCAGGAGACATAGAAAACAGTACATCTGCAGAAATCAACTTTGAGGATACTAAATACGGTTCACATCAGCCAGACACCTCATTCCAACATTTTGAAGCACAATATCCAGTCGTTATCCTTGAATTGTCCTACTCGCAAAAGAAGAAGGATTTGTCACGTTTAGCAAATGAGTATATTCTCGGGTCAGATGCCGATATCCGCGTCGTAATTGGCATCGATGTTGAGTACAAAGGAAGCAAGAAGGCATCTGTTTCAATGTGGCGTCCACGTATTGGAGTTAATAATGTGGGAGAGAAAGAATTATTCGTTGGGCAGACAGTTACAGACCAGGTATGCTCGCCAATAAACCCTTAGAAAAAGCGATATCTTATCTAACGCTACTAGCTCTTTCGCAACGATGCAGGAAACCTCGTTCCTGATCCTCAAGCAAGCCTGCAACTGCGACTCGAGGACTTATAAGCGATATTCTAGTGGATAATGCGTTGAGAGCGACAGAGCTGTCTCTCTTGACGTCGATCCTTGTATAAGCCAAATGTTTCAATTCGAGCCTCAAAGTTACAATAAGCTTATCAGAATTCCCTCTCACCGAGTTATTGTAATGGTTGAATTCTTGTATTCCAATTAATGCTTTGCTCTCGATCCGTCACATCTCAAAATGATAAGTTTCGACTTTAGGAACACCATCCAGCTTGCTATCCCTATTCCCAGCATAGTTTTCCTTCCCAGACTGCAGCCCCTCGCACCAGAATGCCACACTGCGGATTTTCACCCCGTCCTCAATACCCGTAGAAATGCACTTGTCGAGATATTTAACCTGGTCGAAATGCCTGGATGGGTCCGGAGCTTGGTATCGGTCAGGGACATCGACGAGGCCAAACTTCGCGGAAATGTTACCGTTGCCACAATTTTCGTCCTCAAAACGGGCCCACTGAGCCCGAGTCCCATTTTTACAGACACCATGTGAAAGAATCTCGATCCCGTCGCCAGGGGTAACGAGGCAGTCGCCTGTAGGAAGTACAATTATCTCGTTCCTGCCGACTTCGGAGCCATTGCAAGGCGAGCAAGGGATGACCACCGCGCTCTTCGGGGCATCCGGGCAAGGAGCAGGAGGAGCGATAGCGGCTTGATGGAATTGTGCTCCTTGCGGGTTTGGATATGAAGGTGGCTGTGGTAAATAATACCCGCAGCGCCAGATCATGCTCCAATACCGCGCTTGAGGAGCGTTATAAGCAGACCACAAGCATACGTTTGGAGGTGGAGGGTACGATGGTACTCCCACAACATAGCTGGTTGTTCCCACGCAGCCGCGAGCGTTATAGAAGAGCAGCCAGGGCCGTTGCCCGTTAGCGCACGCCGGAGTCGCCGCAATGAGCATGTTGTAGCTGAGATAGTAGTCGCCCGAGAGACATGTATCGGTTGGAAGAAAGACATTGTTGAAGGGACCGGCACAGCCGCCTTCCTGAACCGACTGGATGGGCTTCGTTGAGGCGGCGAAGAGCTCGATGCTTGCGTTTGCGGCGAGCGATTTGTTGTATTCTGCAGAGTCTCTGCAAAGAGGCTTCAGGCTGCTCAAAGCTACTCCTAGCACCAAATTGAATCTATACAGAAATGCAGTCGCGAGACACAGATCGGTGTCGTTTTCCTGGAGTTGATAATTGATGATCATTGAGTTGCAACTCCTGTCTTTATATATAGCCAGTTTTGCTAGTGTTCCATCTGAGCAAATCGCGGGTTTCACGACCATCATGCTGTTGGGATACTCTACAGGTGGAGACATCTCCAAACAGGAACCGATGGGAACTGATGTCCGCCTTTTGAAAAATCCCTTCTGGCATGAATCTATGAGATCGAGGTATCCTTTGCACCATGTTCCTATACAAGGAAGTGACTGATCAGGAGAAGTCTCGTCGACTTCCCCAATATACTCGTCGATGACATCTTGGTCTTCTGTTTTGAGCAATACTTGAGACGGTACATCTTCCTTTAGAACAGTTTCGACGTGTGAAGGAGGTCTGCCTTGAACTGGAGTATAAGGTCTGGGCTGTTGGGATTTCTTCACAGGTTCTCCTAGCAAGAAAGCTGGAACAACTTCAAAATGAGGTGTATTGTGAGGCTTCGAGACAATTTGATAAGGATAACTTGATCTGACTAAGTTCTGATCGCGAGGGTGTGGGTTCGCTAGAACAACGAGGCTGCAAAGAGCGAGGAGAAGGAGTAATGAGAACATCGTAATAGATTAATAGACTTGGTTGTTACACTTGAAAACAAAAGAAGGGTGGATGAATATAAGCTCCAGCAAGAGCTTCTCATAGAGAGGGGATCAGGCAACAATAACGATTAAGGGTTATCAACGCCGATCCTGCATACACGAGCAAATGGCTTGACAGGTCCATTTACCCCGCGACGGGAGCCGAATCCCAGTGTTGGAGCCTACCCACGTGGCACACACCTTAACGCCTTTTTTCCCCAACCAATCATTCATTGTCTCTTGCCCGATGGCTTGCAGAGAGAGAAAGCGCAACTCTCAGTCACATGACTTGACCAGGCTTGGCAAAAATACTTTTGGTATCGATAAGGTATTGATACTGGATGGTATTACTTAGGTATCGCAAGAATCGATACTTAGCCTTAAATTACCTCTTCCATTTATTATTTAATTTATATAATAATATATTTATTTATAATTTATTTATTTTCTAGTCTTTCTATTAAAGGAATTACTTAATATTATTAATAAAAGTTAATATTATTTTAATTTAAAAAAGCTCTCGTATTCGGAAAATTTAGTATCGTATTCGTATCTCTTATCGGAACGCTTATTATAAGCGAGCCTCACGAAAATCTCAAAAGCTATTTTTTGCTTAAAATAGCCGCATTGAGACGACTTTTAGTCTAAACTATAAGATAAGTAGCTAAATAGAAAGCCTAAATTAAGTAGAATATTTGCGCTACCAAAAGCTTTCTTATAAGGGAAGTGGTTCTAAAGTTAATTGCAATTAAAGGGGGGAATTGGGTTCCGGGAATCGATAGGAATCGATACTTTATTGATAGTATTGATACCTTACGATTCTGGCATCGATACCTATCGATACCAGAAATTAGGTATTTCTGCCAAGCCTGGACTTGACTGGCCTCCTGAAGCTTTTTAGTGCCAAATTCACTGATCTAACCCAAAGCATATACATCTCGGCGGAAAAGTTATTTACCTTTCTCGAGCGTGCCGAACCTACAGCGAGGAGACTAAAACAAGGTGAAGGGCTAATCAGGAGCACCAAACCTAGGGTAAGAAACCGGCGCAGAGACAGTAATAGTCGGACTTAACGTCGCGCTAAAGGGGCCCTACCCTTTAGTCGGGGAAAGCGAAGTGTCCCGGGAAAGCGATATATCCCGTACCGATCGCAAAAATTTCCAATTTATATGGAATACCCATAGTAAAAATTAATTAATTTGATTACCACCAGCCCAAATTACCCTGAAAATCTGTCAAATTCGATAGTAATGGCTCGCCTAAGCAATCTCCCCAAGAATACACTTCCCCGTAACATACCAGAGAAGGATAAGCTCCGTAAGGCTATTCAGTTCCTCAAGGCTAATCCAGAAGAGACTCCTATAACTGCAGTACGTACGTATTGCATACGAAATAAAGATATAGTAAGGAACGCATAGCAGAGAGAGAGGAAGAAGATGGGGATAGTAAGAGTATAAAAGGGAAGGCAGAACAAAATCCTCTGTCCTAATTAATACGAGGCATTAATTCAGTATACGGTATTGCATGCGATTAATAGAGGGAAGGGAGCCACGAAGCAAATAATATATAACTGCATAATATGGATACAAACGGAGGATAATAAAACGGCTCTATCTTGGAAGTGGTTCTCTGTAAGGCACGTAATAGCAGGGTGATGCACAAGTAGTCAAGGTAAGTAAGCTGCGGAGTGACGCTTGCAAGTGTAACTGATTCCAAGAATTGATTCCAACAAGAGACTAATCGATGCCCCTTCCAAAGCTAGGAGCGTCTCCCTATATATTCCCTAGTGCTTAGCCAGGCATGCGAAGCCCTTTACTTAATTAGGAAATCCCATGCGATCCATACGATTCCGATCGCAAGCTGTACCCAAAATAGGAAACTAGATCCACGACATCTGATACCTGTCCATGCGCCATCACGTGTGCCCATTACATTCTCTCAATAGCTAAAGAGCACTCCAGAACTCTATATAATTAAGACAAAGCCCATTGCGAGCCACCGCATCGATCTCTATACTAAACAGAGCCTATGCGACTGGTTTGAAACTGAATATCGTCCGGTATTAGAGGAAACTGGAATATGCCATGGGGATCGGATATATAATATAGACGAGAAAGAAGTACGAATTTGTATACCTGCAGGAAAGGAAATAGTTATTCCAATTGGAATTAAGGAGATATATACAGGAATACTAGAAAATCGCATATCTCTTATAATAATTGAGTATATATCTGCAGATAGTAAAGCAATTTCTCTAGTAGTAATTATCCCTGGAATTATGATTATAGTTTCTTGGTTCCACGAAAATATAACCGGCCATAAGGTTATTATAGTCTCTTCTATAGGATATATAAACGAGGGTATTTATATGGTTTGGTTAGATTATTTTATTAAGTATAATAATTACGGTCCTAATAAGAAATAGTATATTCTCTTAATTAACGGAGTAACTTGCTACTAAGCAGATGATTTTATCTTAAAAGCTACGTTTAATAAGATATAAATCGTCTAATTCCCCTCTTACTAAACCTACTTACTTTAACCGTATAATATTAGTATTTTTAGGAAATAGAAACACTACTAATAGGTTAATATTATAAATGTAATTTGCTCGTACGAGCCGGAATATAATATTTAGTACTTCTTTTATAATCTTCCTGGAATAAGGAAGAAGACATTTACTATTTATATAATTAAATACGCCTTTTAGAATACTGGAATTTGGCCTGTCAGTTTCAAAGCAATATAGAGAAAGCTCAAGAAGTATAGCAAAAAGAGAAGGAAAGATACTGGCCTTTAATTCCTGGAGTTTGGATCTAAATCGGAAACTAAATCGGATATAGAAAACGTACGATTTACTATACCTGCTCCTGCTCCTATTCACGAATACTAATTACCTACCCTTCCAAAACCTCCTTCTTTATATAACAAATGCGTTCTACGGCTCGATAATCTCAATAATAAGATTCTGGATACTTTAAGCTCCTCCCCTTGCAAAGAGTATTCAGTTATAATTAAGGCTACCAAGAACTACCTAATGCTTGGAAGTTTATAAGAGCTGGATGCCCAGAATGCTCACAAGGTACAGGTTGAACGTTATAAGGCTAAGCTAAATATACGGCTTAGTTTCCAAAGAGGGAGGTAATTAAATGTATCTGATACTCTGGAAAAGAAGAAGATTAAAGTAAGGAATATAATAGAGGAGGAGCTAAAGAAGGCCAAAAGACAGCTCGCAAAGGCTAAATTAGCTAAAAAGGAAGCTCTCAAAAGAGTAGGAATTGCCGCACGAGCGGCAGAGAGAGAGAGGAAGAAGAGAGTGAGAGATCTGGAGGCACAGGCAAAGAAGCAAGTCCTTGGAACTAATATAATTATTTCTCCCGAGCTCCTAATACCAATTCGTAATCCCCAAAACGAACCTACGGAAAGCGAGCTTGAAGCCATTCGAATTAAATACCAATTACTTTACGATAAGGTAGCTAAGGAGCAAGCTGAATTCGATTGTATACAGGTCGAAGATTCCGTAATCTTTACTAATATCCCTCTTGATCCTGTAATACTTGTATCTAAACAAGCTTACCGGGTAAAGGGGAACCCTCTTAATTAATTATATATACGGGCAATATTAGAAGAGTCTAGGGAATTAGATAAGGAGGTAGAGGAGGTATAAGAGGATATAAATAGTGAGGTTAGTAGGGAGGAGGTGGTTCTGTGTTCTTTACTACCTAGATTAGTAATATTAACTGATTTAATAGCTCAAAATATAGATTTTATAGTATTAGAGTAATAAGAGATTATATCCTCAATTATATATTAATTTAAGGGTTATTTGGTGTTGTGGTGCAATTCAAGTGTCTGTGATCGCATAGTAATTTTGGTGTAGTACGGGATATATTGCTTTCCCGGGACACTTCGCTTTCCCCGACTAAAGAGTAGGGCCCCTTTAGCGCGACGTTAAGTCCGACTATTATACTACCAGAGCATCTTGATCTAGACCGGGAAGGTATCTTCGCAGTGGCTAGCTAGATAATCATTAGTAACAAAGACCTACCGTTTGCACTAACGCATTCGATAGCGGTAACTATTGTATACTTAACGCCCGCGCCTCTATAGTCTCGCGGATCGTCCTTCCTTATTAGGACCTTAATAGAGCTAAGTATATATAACATAACTCTAGTCTCGTCTATATTATAGACATTCTCTAGGAGGATAGCCGGGTCTTATAATACCTCTCCGATTACCTTAAACTAATATACTATCTTATTATAAATATTATTCTCGTAGCGTTCCTAGGCCATTGCCCTCTATTAAACTAGCTAAAGCAATATAGCTAGGGTCACGTGCTTGCAATGTAAACCAAGTAAAACGTACTGAATTGACTGCTGTTCTATAGTAGTAAGTAGCCCGTATATATAGCCCTGAACCCCCTAAGTCACATGTACTAAACCCCTAAACCAGAGAGCCTTATACTAAACCATTCAACCTCAGCTGAACCGATTTAGCCTCACAGGGCATATTATGCCCTGTATTAACCTTACAGGGCATAATCTACTCAGTAATAAGCCTATGGCTTAAGCCCCATTAGTACACAGCCCCTAAGGCTCTGTTCCATTAGTGCACAGCCCCTAAAGCTCTGTTCCAGGGCTTACTAAGCCTATTAGGGGCCTCAGGCCCCTAATTTCAACACCCTCACTCGTTATGATTTAAGTACTAGATAACGCTTTTGGAAGCCCCGAGGCCAGTTCTTGCCTAGAGGCTTAGCTGCTTTAATTGTCGAACGCTGGCGGGCGATATTAAAGGCGAGGGCAAGTAAGCACTTAATTCGTATAGGATTCCTAAGGTTAGTTATTAGTTTTAAATACCTTTCGAGGGCTTTCTCCTCTAACGGAGTAAGGTATTACTAGCCTTGGGCCTTCTCTTCTTTTAAGGGCCGCCTATACTCACGATAGTAGAGGGTAGTTAGAGGGACTCTATTGCGTTTCGATCTAGCATCGTATATTCGAGGCTCTCCCGGCAGGGAGGCCTTTACAAGGGCTTTACTAGCGCGGTTGCTTATAAGGCATTACCTCCGTACCTTACATAGAGATGGGGATAGGGATTAGAACGACTGAGTGGCAGGTGTAAAAGCAGGACACGTACGTGGTTACTCATGGAAACTTCTAGAATAACGCTACACTTCACGGGAGTTTCGTATAATATGCAATATAATACGATTAATTTAGCGTAACTGTAAATATAATACTTCTTCGCTTATTAAGATTCTTGCCGTATTATATACCTCCTCCTACTTTATCTGGATAAATCCGGCATAAAGGCTTCCTTCCGCTTTATGTCTTTAAACTTTAGAGCTATATTCTTTCTTAATAGGAGCTTCGTGCTACGGTCCCGAAATTTGGAGACAGGCTAATAGTTATAATAAAGCAGGGGGGAATAGCCGAAAGGGCTTTTAACGCCAGTAACGGGACAATTAATAATATAACTATAACTATAACTATAGTATTTTATTACTGAAAACCGAACCCTTATAGAGAAATAGCTAAGGAATAACAGTAAACTAATTATAACTTTATATATTTATGTAGTAGAGATTTGAGACCTATAACCTATGAAGTCGTTTCGGTACGTAGGGTTTTCCGGCACATAGGGATGGACGTTAGACATATGATCTGAAGTAGATAGAAAGCAGGTTGCGATAGGTAATTTTGGCTCTAGATTTCAGAACACTACGAAAAGAATAAAGAATTCGTGAGAGCTTCCAAATTTTTGTGATGTGCCGTCCTTATTTATAAAATATCCCTATGCAACTACTGCTCAGAGCCAACAACCCAGCGGTTATAATGGCATAGCGGAAATGCCTATGTCTATAAAGATATTAGGATCAAATTTTGTATATTAAAGCTAGACTTACTTACTGGAAGTACAGTATGCCGTTGTCTTCGAGTCTCTGCTCGAATATCTGGTCGATTTGGAAAACATCGATTATTCTCGAGATTTATCGACTCGAATATCTTTACCGTCAAGTTTACGAATTTCCTTATATTTGGATGGGAAAGCTGCTTAATAGTCAAATCCGAACCTTCGACTGTAATAGAATATGCTATAACCCGAGGTTGACACTCGATTATTGGTAAACCATAGTCGAAAATGATATCAACTCGTTCCAACTTCTTGTCATCCACCTTCTCGCCATCCACCTTCTCGCCATCCACCTTCTCGCCATCCACCTTCTCGCCATCCACCCTGTTATTATCCACCTTGTTGTCATCCACCTTCTCGCCATCCGTCTTGTTGCCATCTACCTTGTTGCCATCCACCTTCTTGTCATCCACCTTATTGTCATCCACCTTATTGTCATCCACCCTATTATCATCCACCTTCTTATTATCCGAAATCCTCGTAATAAAATGTCTAACTGTCGTTTCACCAGTAATAGATAGCCTATCGCAGAGCCTTTTGATTAATTCTGTATCAGCCTTGTCAAAGGAAGGATCAATCTTCTGGAGTTGGGCCAGGCGAGTCCGGATAAGAACTCGTATCGGGGGGTTGATCGAAGGCAAACCCATAATGTTAAAGAATCTTGTGGGAAACTCAGCTCGGCCGTAACGTTATGTGCATGGAGTCTTGCGATATACGGAGTGTTGTGAGATCGCGGAGATGGCGGATGGGAATTTCGAAGAATGACGCGATGGCCGGAATAAGGTTTAATGCTCGGAGATAACCGAAGCGTTCTGCACCCCACCGGCTCATAGCACAGGTGACCACAAAGCTCAAATCAATCCTCAAGTTTGAAAGCCTGTTGTGGTAGGGACTGCGAGAAGCGTAGCGCTTTCCAGCGTCCAGGGAGCACATACGCTAGCGTCAGGGCGCCGAATTTTGCTCTATTCGCCAGCGTTTGTGAAGGCACCAGCGCAATGGATGCTTGACTTGACTTGACTTGACTTGAATTCATAGACCGTCCCAGCTGCCATTTGGCTGCTATGCGGCTTGCTAAACTATGAAACTACTTTACATTATTAGAAGTTTTACATTAGAAGTCAAGATCCTCTAACAGGTGCTCTTAACTCTTATATATACTATAATATCCAAGAATCTTAGTACTTCGCCTTTAAGATATCTCGTTTTATAATACCGCTCCAAATTACCCAAGAAATCTAGTTTGGATCATGAAACTTATAGCCTTCCTAGCTAGCTTAGGTATATTTAGGATTTCCTATAGGTCCATCCTTACTAGTCTTATTATTCCTTTATTCCAAACTTCTCTTCTGAGATTATTAAATATAGGGTATACCAAAAGAATATATTAAACTATCTAATTATCTCGTTCGTATTTATAGTTACTACTTATAATATCCGGTACTTTCTACTAGGAAAGAAACTATTTTAGCCTAATTTTCTCTATATATATCTATATAATAATTAAACTAAGGAATTTTAGTAGTATTATATATAGTTATAGGATATTATATCTGAGGCTAGAAGTTAGTATATAAGTTATTTGGCTTATAGTACCTATCTTCTACTCCTGGACCCATTAATCCTATATTAGTTAATATAATCTCGTCTTTACTACTAACCCGAAGTTTTTAAGATAGTTTAGTTTCAGGGCCATATTATCTAAATTAACTTTAATTAATCTTCCCATTCTTTCTCATACCTGCTTCTATCCCGTAGCTTCCTTTATAAGCCTATTTACTAGTTCGTTTCCTTCTATCTCTTAGTAGGCTAGTATCTAATAAAATTCTATATCTATATTTTAATAATTAGTTTTACTAAAAGTAAGAATAATTAACTTAATAATATATTACCCTAATTAGTACCTAGGCTTCCTAAGCGCTATAAGCGCTACTTAGTTATTAGTAAAAACCGCTATCTTCTATATATTAGCTCTTATAGCTATTTCAAGTCCTATTAAGATCCCGATTAGTTCGGCTATATAAATTATACTAGTTAATTCTCTACCTAGATAAGTAGAAGTATATATATTTAGAATTAGTACTACTACTACTATTCTAACTTTCCTATTAATTCCGCTCTCGTTTATATAAATAGCCAGGTATTTATATGTCACAAGAATTTTATAATAGTACTTTTTGGCTGCCTCCCGGCTATCCTAAATAATTACCTCAGATAGTATCTATTATAATTTAATAATATATAGATCCCGGACTTTAAAGTTACGAATTAGCTTCTCGCCTAGTTTCTTTCCTAAGCTATCTTTAAGTTATTTGAGAGGGCTTTTATATATATAGTGCCTTTTAAACTAACTATTATAATTATATATACTTACTACTATAATATAAATAAAGATAAATATAAGTATTAAGATTAATAGGCTTATAAAAATATTTATTACTATTTCTTATATTTTTTCCTCTAATTAATAGTAAATTAGAAATATAAAGAGTTCTATATTTAAAGCTATTACTAAAGTAACTCGAAATATACTTAATATTATTCTAATAGCCTCAAGTTATATCTTATCTAATATTAATTATATCTTAGTTATATAGCTTAGCTTATCTTAAGAAATATATTATATAAAATATTTATATATAAGCTAAGAAATAACTATACTTTAGTATATTTATCTGAGTATTATTAGGCTTAATTCTTATATAAATCCCATAATAGCTTATAAGGCTTATAATATTATTCTTGCCTTTCCTTTAATATATTTAATATATAATTCCTATCTAAAGAATTAATTTAAGATAATACTAAGATAATATACTAAGAAAAATAGCTGAATTACTATATCTAATAATATTAAGAATTATTTTATATTATATTCTTCTAGCTTTCTTATAAGATATACTAGCTAGTACTTTCCTAAATTAAACCTCAAGCTATATATTCTAGATTATCTCTCGGTTTCTTAATATATATATAATAGTTTCCGGTAATTTTATTCCGTACTTTAACTATATACTAAAAAGTAGATATTATTAATCTAGCCTCTAATTATTATATCCGAATTCCTATAAATAATATCTTCAAAAATATCTGTATTATAAAATAGATAAAGAATTAGTAAGATCGGGAATTCTTATAGAATACTAGTATTAATATTAAGAAGCTTAGTAATATATTCCCTAAATTAAATTATTATTTTTCTATTTTATAAAAAACTTATAATTTACTCTATAGTTTTCTTATTAACTTAATGTTTTTAGAGATTATAAAATAGCCTAGGGTAAAAAATATAATTAAAAGCTTCTAATATATTAAGTAGAAAGAGGCTTATAATATAACCTTAATTTTATATATAGTAAATTACTTCTATTAAATAATAAAATATATACTTTATTAATATTTCTTTTTATTCTCCGAAATATCTTTTTAGTAAGAGCCTATATTTACTAATAATATAAGAGATTCTAAAAGCCAGAATTAATTCTAATATTTTTCCTAATATATTAAATAATATAATAAGTTAATATAATCTAATACTTATAAGGTTCTTCTTTTTAGGCTTTAGTAAAACTACTATTTTAAACTATTAGAAATACTTAAAATAATATTATAAATTAATAAATATATTAAATAGTAGAACTAGCTATAGGATAAGCTAGGGAAGTAACTAGTATAAGATATAAGCCGGAATACTATCTCTTTTAAAAGCTTTCCTTAGGGCTATTCTCTTTATTACTTTTTCTATTTCATATATTATAATAACTAGAAAGATAAGCTAATCCGAATATAAGTTATTCTATATATTTGCCAGATCTATTTTAGATAGTACTAGGAAAAATACTACTTATATTATTTCTGCTTTAGCCTAGTAATTATATTTTATTTTACTATCTAATTTATATAGTAAAAAAGTAAAGAACTATCTTATTTTACTTTTATATATTTACTTAGCAAGTTTCTAAAGCTTATTCTAGATATTAGCTACTTCTCTTACTTTTAATTAGTAAGTATTATATAGCGTTTTCTTAATAAGTCTACTCTTATAATTATATGTTTAGTAATAGGCCTTCTAATTTGCCTCGAGTTTATTTTTTTAAAAGTAGTATTATAATTATCTTACTATTATCTAAACGGCTTTATATTCGTTTATTTATCTATATATTAATTTAGGGCTAGACTTTACTTTTAGTATAAATACCTCAATTACTATAATAATATCTTCTATTTTCTTATTAAGCTTATTTCTTAATAAAATTACTATTAGTAATAATAAGTTCTTCTTAACTTCTTATATAAGAATCCTATAATTAGTATACTACTACTATAGCTATTCTAGTAATTTATAGGTTTCTATCTCTATTATAACTATTATTACTATAAGTAAGTAGTCTAATTAGTAATTCAAGTCTTTTCTGACTTTATAAAAAACTTTTCTTTTTAAAGCTTATAAGATACTAAAAATAAAGTTAATTATAGCTTGCTTCTATTACTTATTATATATAATAGAATCTAGCAAAAATAAAAGCTTTATCTAGTAATTCCTTATAAATTATAGTAAGCTCTTTACTTAATAGTCTTATATTGGGTTTTCTTTTTCTTTCTATAATAGATAATAAAGATTAAAGTCTCTTATTACTATATAATAGTTCTTTACTAATTATCTCAAAATATATTAAAATAGGAATATTATACTTTTTTCTATATTAATTAGTAAGTTATATATATTATATATATATATAACTTTCTTTTTTCAGCTATTATTATATTAGATTATAATAATATTAAGGTCTAGGAAATATATAACTATAGTTTATCTAGTATTCAAGATTCTTTTATTTATAAAAATATATATTCTTATATCCGGACTATTAAAGTAAAGTAAATTAAAGTATTAGCTATATAAATAATATATAATATTAAGACTCTTATTTTTCTATAGTTCCTAGATAGCTATAATATTAAATTCCGTAATTCTTTTATTCCTAAATAAACTAGTTATAACTTTATTATATTATACTATAGAATTAATAATATAGTTTTCTTATTTATTATTTATATTTATAACTTGAGATTCTAGTATTCTTAGATTTATTAAGCTTAAATTAATTAATATCTATTATAGCTATTATTTTATTATCTAAGAGTTTATAAATTAACTTATTTGGCCTATTTAGATAGGCTCTTTATATTATATATATATCTCTTTTTCTTTATTCTCTAGAGCTAGTATAAGATTAAAGTTCTTATTCTTATATATAAAAATATTACTATTTTCCGGAATAAAGATATAGAAGCTCTACTATAACTAGATTACTTATATAGCTACTTTCTAGACTTTCCTTAGTAATATTATAGCCTAATTATTCTTATAGTTACTAGAAGTCGTCTAAATAGTTCTTTTCTACTAATAAGATAGAATTATTATTATTTATAATTATATAGAGCTAGTTTAAAGTTCTATACTTACTAGACCTAGTTTAGTAATAGCAGGGCCTTTCTAGAGTTATATTACTATCTTAGAACTATTATAAAATATAGATTAATTTCTTTAAATAGCTTTTATCTTTACTATTTATATTTTTCTAATCTAATATCTATTATTTTAGGCCATATAGAATTCTTTATATAGAATGCATTTTAGTATAAAGTTAGACTCTTTTCTATTCTTATATTATCTCATATTATAAGACTCTATATAATATTCGCAAATATTATTTATAATATACTAGATTCCTATATAGCCATATTTCTAATACTTATAGTATTACTTTAGCTTATAGTAT